CACACACAGAGTCTGTGCTTCCAACAAGCTTATAACCAATTATCTCATTCTATCCACAAAGAAATTAAAACTCAAAGATTTTATGCAATGCTCCTCAAGTTCATTCAGCAAGTCATTAGGAGTGACTCTGGATAAAAGCATGAAACGATTCCTAGAGAATTCTCTGTAAGTCTTGTCTGATGTCAAGATCCCTGATTCCCAGTCATGATTCACCCCCTTGAGGACGCTGCTACAAGGACTTCTCATTGTAGCATCCTCCCATGAAACAGGGGAAATGCAGAGGTGTGAAGAACGCACTGTAGCTTTGGAAGGAGCCAAGTCAAAAGCCGATCCTTCCTCCCAGCCTGTCTTCTTGCCAAGGGAAGCCACTTCCTCTGGGGAGCACCTCAGCCTGGAACGTGAAGGCGGGCTGCCAGCAGAGGAAGTAGATCCCACCTCAGTGCACAGACTGGCTCTCCTTGGGGTAAAGGGAAATGAGTGAGGTCACCCTGGAAAGGGAGGGGGAGAGAGACACTAAAATTTCCGGGGGCTATTTCAGTTTTCTTTTCCTTTTTATGCAATTTCACTTATGATATCAGCCAATGTTTGGCTACTGCTTTGGAAACTCCCCTTGGGACGCCCCCTCGACTGGCCCCAACTCCCTATAAAAGGCTGTCCTGAGTGGGGCTCGCAGAGCATTCTGAGACAGCACGTGCACTCATCCAGCATCTGCCCACAAGCACCATGAAGGTCTCCGCTGCCGCCCTCACCGTCCTCACCGTCCTCACCATCACCACCCTCTGTGCACCTGCGTGTGCCACTCCATGTAAGTCAGGTCCCTTCTCTGCAGCCCCAGAGTGTCCTGCCCACCTCCCTGGCTGTCCCTGGCCTCACTCTCTTTTCATCTGCTGTATTTCTATCTGAATCCCATTATTTCCATTCTCATATGTTGCTCAAGGTTGGCCTAGGATAGGCTAGGGTTCAGATCTGTTGTTTGTAGGGTCGTTATGAACAACAGCACATTATTCAGCTACCTTTGGTAGGTCTCTCTATGTCCCTTCATGACAGAAACCCTTGATGAACCCCTGTGTCTTTGAATCTAAACCAAGGCTCTGCTGGTGTTTAATGTTGCTGCCATGGGTAATAGGTGGGCACAGTTCATAGATTTTTTTTTTAATTAAATACATATTCTGTTTCTGGTGGGAGCTCTGCTGACTTATTTGTTCGGAATTGTGCTAACCCAAAGGCAGAGCCTCTCTGGTAATTTGAATCTACCAATTGCTTCAGAGATAAAAACAGGCATTCTCCTCTCTCGTGATTTACGGCTTCCAAAAATCCACTGGAGGGTCAGCTACAAGTCTCTTTTAAGTTAACAGCAATGAATTTGAGAGGTTTGGGGGAAGAGGAGGTGTTTCTGTATACGTTTTTTAATGTTTCCAGTAAGGTGCCCTTATGGACCAGTGGTTTAAAAACTAGGCTGCTAACCCAAAGGTTGGCAGTTCAAAACCACTGTGAGCGATTCTGCTGGAAAAAGATGTGGCAATCTGCTGCTGTAAAGATTATGACTTGGAAGTCTTGTGGGACACTTTGTACTCTTTCCAATCTATAGCTATTTAAAGAGCAAGTGGTCCAGGTTCCTCTGAGCCTGGAGGGTCAACAGGACAAGCGTGGAAACGGCCAACGGGGGGGTGGTGACAGAATAAGGGCATTGGGGTTTCAGATACCAGACTCTTTTCTGAAAGAGAGGTGCCTTCCCATGGAAGAGGGATGATACAGCACAGGCTTGGTGAGCACTAGCTGTGGAGCTTTGTTAGAATCCCGCCTCCACCACTTGCTAGCTTAGGACAATCACTTTACTTCTTTTCTCTATGAGTCAGAGTCAACTCGACAGCAATACGTTTAGAGTTTGGTTTTATGTGTCAGGTACTGTGCTGATTGCTTTACATGTAGAGTCTCTTCTTTGTGTAGTTATCTTTGACTTACAGATAGGAAAACAGAGGCCCAGAGAGATTAAGTAGCTTACCCAAAATCAAGAGCTAAGGAGTCAGGGGAATCAAACACAATTCTATCTGACAATCAAATACCACTGCTCTTCTGGGCCGAAAGCTCTGATTAAATAGTCTGCAACCAGCTGCACAGCTAGTCTAAAGGCCAAACATCCCTGGTGGTTCGAATCCACCAGGAGTCTCATAACGGAAAGGTGGGCAGTCTACTCTTGTTACAATTTACAGCCTTAAGAACCTGGGGGAGGGTGGCTGTAGGTCAGAATTGACTCAACAGCACTGTATTTCAGAGTAGCCTTTATGCTAAGCAGAAACTCTCTTTTTTATCAATTAAACAACAAAATGTTCTCTGTTCAGAGCCCTTCTCTTCATGGTTCAGCCAGAGGGTCCTAGGGCGTGCAATGTGCATGTTCAGGTCCTTCTTAGGGATCCTGGTTGACCCTGAGCTGTACACACTCTCTCTCTATCCATCCACCCTAGGTCCCAAAGAAACCAACCAGAGCATCAGGGAAGCCATTAAGAAGCTTAGCATATCCTGAAAACCAAGGGCAAGGGACTATGGACATAGGAAACAAGACAAACTGAATTCAAGGATTAAACAGAATAGAATAAATAGTATTAAATTAGAAGAGAGGAGATGCCCTGTTGGAATCTTGTCCTCTGTTGGATTCTCCAAGCCTCAGGATGATATTTGTTCAAGGTAAAGCACACATAAAAAGCACTATGCCCAGTGTGCACTGGTAATGAATAATGGGGCGCCTTTCTTCTTCCCAGACGCTTCGGACACCACACCCTGCTGCTTCTCCTACAGCCCCCGCCAGCTGCCCCGTGCCCACGTCCAGGAGTATTTCTACACCAGCGGCAAGTGTGCCAACCCAGCAGTCGTGTGAGTCTTTATCTCCTATGAGTCTCTAGAACAAATCATATGGTCAAATCTCAGAGGGCTTGGGCGGAGAGGACAGGTGTAAGAGCCCTATTTATGAAAGATTTTTTTTTCATTTTAAAAATCTTTCTTGAAGAAATAAATAATTCACCATTAAATATGCAAATTGAGCCACCATGAAATTTCTTATATAGAGGAGAAATTTTTCCATCTAAAAGTTCTCATGACACAAGCAAAGACACAAGTGTTCAAAGTAGGACTTTGGCTCTGATAAATCCCTTCCAAGGTGATATTTAGCACTATTCATTTCAATTCTGAAAAGAAACATTTTCAAAAGAAAAATATCATTCCCTGAAAGTCCACTATGTGCAGATAGAGAGTCCTAAGCCACCATTTGTGCTGTTATGGGGCTGATTCAAGGGTGGGGCCAAGGCCCCAATGACTGGAGTGCCATGAATCGGAATAGTACCAAAGGCCATGTAGCCAGGGAAGGGAGGGAACACACACAGCTTCCTGGGTGATGAGAGAGGACTTGGTGAAGATTTGCAGGGTGTGCTGGGTAAAGGGAGGAGATGAGGGAATTAGGATAGATCTAGTAGGGAACTGAAAAGATGGGGTGGTAGTGGGCATAGATCAATGGTGAGTAATTTTATAAAACACAGTGTATGGGAATGATCCTAGGAAACACAATGTGAATGAAGGAATGTGTGAAATACAATGTACATGAATGAAACACAATGTATGCTCACTTTGTATGCAAACCAACATAAAATTTTAAAAACTAAGGTAAAAAAGGAAGAAGTACTAGCTGATGTGGGACATGGACTGGCAGAGAAACTGGGTGTATCGGGCAGAGAAAATGCCTCCAGAAAATGTCTCAGATTTGGTTGGTGTCGTCGACCATGCAGGACAAGTGAGAGATGATGCAGGAAGAGAGGCCACGGCTGTCCTGGAGAAGCCTTGTGTGTCACGACAAGGAAGCACAAGCTTTCAAGGAGTCAAACGTGGCATAACAAGAGCCTACAAAATCAGGGTCCAGTCTAGAGCTGCTGCTATTATCTAAGAGTAGCACTGGAGGCTCAATAGTGCATGGAGGAAGAGAAAGGAGAGGCAGGGTTAGAAAGCTCCAGAGAAAGAATGGGCAAACCCTGGCAGGTGGTTTGAAATCTGGAGCAAGGAAGAGAGAGGGGATGAGGCTGATGCTAAGGTTTCAACCCAGAGACAGGGCCATCCTATGAGCTGTTTAAAGAGCAGAGGTGGGTGTGCTCTGGGTTCCTTTGAGCCTTCAGGCCAGCACGACAACTATGGAAACAGCCAGCAGGGAGGATGATAACTGAGGAATGGCACGGGGGTTACAGATGCCATGTTGTTTTCTGGAAAGAGGGATTCTTCCCATAGAAGAGGGGTGATACAGCACATCTTGGTGAGCACTGGCTTTGGAGCTAGTCAACTTTGTTAGAATCCCATCTTTGTTTCTTATTAGTTTACCTGAACATGGGACAGTCACTTTACCTCTTTTCTCATCTGTAAAATGGGAGAATTTGAGACCTTTCTTTCTGTGGGTCACAGAAAATCATTAGCATATTGCCCAGAACACAACAGCTGCTTAGTAGGTGCTAACTCACCATCACCTAACTACATTGAAGGGGTAAATGCAAATCATTCTTTGACTTAAGCCTATGTTACACCAAGATCAAGGTCAGAAATAGGACAAGAACACAGAGAAAAGGGCAGCATTATTGAGAAACATGCTCTTAAAGGATAGGTGAAGGTAAAGGGTCCCAGAGAGCCCGAGCAGGCGAAGAGAGGAGCCTGGCAAGTAGAGGGCACCAAAACGGAGAACAGGCACCCTTGCAAGGAGGCGGTATCACACTCGGGTATCACACTCTGCACAGGAAGGCAGAAATGGAGGTCTCACATCAGACGCTGGTTTTCTGGCCTCTTGACTTCCTGGCCACAGGCTAGGGGGCCAGAGTAAGAAGGTTGCTTTGGCAGGATTTCCTGTGTGAAGCTCCTTCCAGATTTGATTGACAATGACCCTCCAAAGCAGAAGAGAAAAGCCCCGTAGACTTGGCTAGGAAGCCAACATGGAGTGACTGGTGAGTTCACACAGCCAACCCTTTGGTTATCAGCTGTGTGCATAACTACTGCACCACAAGGAGTCCTGAAAATCACCCCACCCCACCCCACCCCACCCCATCCTAAATACAAGGGCAAACAGTAGAGAACATGAGAACCCAGAAAACCTCCTCCTCCCCTGTTCTCATCTGGGAGCAGTAGAAGAAAGCACTAAGATCAAGTGCCTCAGAGGGAGGTCCTCCAAGGGGGAGGCAGCTTCCCTGCAACGCAATGTTACCCAGAGCAGAGCCCAAAGAACAACCTAGGAATCCTTGTTCTCACCTGATGAGCTGTGCCGTCACTTGGTATAGAGACATGTGGGCTCAGGGAATGTGCAGAAACATCGCCTAAAGGAGAAGTTAAAATGAGAAAAATGGTCAAGTAGGCGGGGCTGGCTCCTGGCTGCCTCAGAGTCTGTCTGAATAATGCGTTCATTGGCAGCACTTGTACCCAGGCCCAACGTCTCCCCTAGCTGGAAGCAGCAGACCCCCGTCACCCCAGCCCTGTGTACCTCCAGTTGACACCATCCCTCTATGTGCTGTTGTTGAGGCCGTTAACTCCAAATCATGGCAACTGCGCACACAACAGAGGAGAAACCCTGCCCCTTCCTGAGCCAGTCTCTTGATTCGCTGTGGATCAGGCGGTGATGATTTAAAGGATTTTCACTTTCAGAAGCACATTGCCAAGCCTTTCTTCCAAGCCTTAGACTGGATCACAGCAACATGCAGCCCTCCACAGAATGATGGGTAGTGTCTGGACACGTGACACATTGGCTGGGAATCGAACCAGGGCCTCTCACGAAAGGCACAACGTTTTTTTGTCTCTGCTGCATGTCTGCCTTCACGTACTTTCATGTGGCTCCATGTCTTGGTTGGTTGCTAATTGAAAGAATTTAGCATTGCCAATATTCCCAAGCCCTCAACCTCTCGAGGTCACGCTGCCTGGTGCCAGGAGCTGTGTGGTCCCATGTCATTCTGATTCACACCCAAAGAAACATGTTGCCCAGGAATCTAGTATCAATAGCACATTATGACATTTTCCAAAACTCCTTCACACATCATCTTGATTGAGCTTTACAACAGTTGCACAAAGTAGGTATTGTTTCTAGCTCCATTTCAAAAGTAGCCAAATAGAGGCCCTCAGTGATTGGTCTAAAGTCACCCATCTAGAAAGTAGTGAAATCAAGACTCAAGTTCATGTCCTTGCCCCATCCAAGCATGCACCAATGAACTCATGCATCTGATTACTTAGTGTCTGCTTCGGGCCGGGCAATGTGTTGTCTGAAGCCAGATCACTTGGGTTTTCAGCCACATTCCATCTCCCTGTCATTCAGCCTTGACTGAGTTCCTTGAGGACACAGAATCTACCCTTCGCTCTTTCTTCCAAGCAGCCAGCACAGGATCTGGATTAGAAGGAGTGCTGATTTCTGGATGGTGATACATCAGCTCTGGGGCCCTCGTGCTCCTTATCTCTAGATCCCTTTCGCTTTCCAGGCAGCATGTGTTTGTATGGGGGTTAAACTTCACACAAATCTAATTCTAGCTTAGATCCCACAGGAGAGGAAATGTCCATTCCTGATAAGTCACAAAATAACTATCCCATCTCAACCAACCCCTTATCTCCATCTTCCTCAACCTCAAAAACTGGTTGGCCGGCCCTAAAAAGCTCTCTTCCTTTTTTTCTCCTTTTCCACAGCTTCGTCACTCGAAAGAAGCGCCAGGTGTGTGCCGACCCAGAGAAGAAATGGGTGCGGGAGTACATCAACTCTTTGGAGATGAGCTAGGGTGGAAGGTGTCTTGAACTTGAGCTTGGGCACATTGTTTGGTTGTGGCTTGCTCTTGTCCTCACCAGCTTGAGAGCCTTGTCCTCCCAATCCTTCCCGCTCCATCACTCCCTGGAAAGCAAGGATTCCACCTGCAGGCAGCGGCTCTAAAAGCTTCCCCCACTGAAAGCCCTGAAGCTCTGCACCTGAACAGTGTTCATGTCTCTGAGAGCTCCTTGGGGCTCTGGGACTGGGAAGGAAGATGATATACTTCTAGAAGCAACAAAGGGTGTTTATGGGAATGGCCCAGGTTCCTGTCTCAGCCCCTCATTGGGGAGGGATGGCTGACAAATGTGAGAAATCAGCTTTTCATTAAAGTTCTCAGTGCAAATGCAAAGCGAGTGGTTTGATTTCCTCCTCCTCAACCTTCTATCCCCAGGGGCATTAAACATGCGGAGGGCTTGCATACATCTACAATTCTAGACTTGCGGTTTGTGGCCCAGCAAGCTGGGCTAGAAGCAAAAGGTCTATGAAAAAGGGACAGAGCTGGTAAAGTAACCATGGCTCAGCTTCCTGGAGGCAGGGCAGAGGATGACACGCCCCATCTCCCCACTCCCGGGTCTCTGCTTCAGACCTCACCTGGCCCTTCCATCCATTCTGCTCCCCTTCTACCCCAGCCAATCCCATACCTTGGATCTCTTTAAATCATCCTTTCACAAGAATGGGATTTGAAAGCAATCACAAAATTCCTCGGTCCTTTAAAATTAAGAGAATAAGGTATTTGACTAAGGTACACCTGATACAGGCATGGTCTTTGCAGTTATTTGCTATGCATTAGAAAGCTGGACAACAACTATGGATGACAGAAGGAGAGTTGATGCCTTTGAGCTTTGGTGCTGGAGAAGAATATTGAATATACCATGGACTGCTAGGAGAACAAACAGGTTCGTCCTCGGGAGGGTCAAGCCAGGCTGCTCCTTGGAGGCAAAGATTCTAAAGCTCCTCTGACATTCTATGGACATGTTGCAAGGCAGGATCAGTCCCTGGAGAGGGACATCATGCTTCAGAGGGTGGAGGGACAGCACAGGAGAGGAAGACCCTCAGTGAGATGGTTTGATTCAGTAACTGGGGTAATGGGGATAGGTGTGTCAGAGACAATATTATTGGCAAGGGATGGAGCAGGGTTTAGGGCTGTTGTAGATAGAGTCACTATGAGTCGCAGGTGACTCAACAGCACAAAACAACAACAACAAGGTATTTGATGGTATTTTACAATTACACCAACCCAAGGTGAAATAAAAAGTTGAATTGGGAAATTTGCTGTCAAGGATCCCTTGGAAGTGCAAAAGAGCAATGATTTCAGAGACGAACGTGCCTGATCCGAGCCATGGTCTTTTCAGTCACTTGCTATGTAGCTGAAAGCAGGACAATGATTAAAGATGACAGAGGAAGAATTGATGCCTTTGAGCTGTGGTTCTGGAGAAGAGTATTGAACATACTGTGGACCACCAAGAGAACAAACAGGTCTGTTCAGGAGAGGGTCAAACCAGATTGCTCCTTGGAGGCTAGGATTTTAAAACTCCATCTCACATACTGTGGGCCTATTGTGAGGAGGGACCAGTCCTTGGAGAAGGACATCATGCTTGGAAGGGTGGAGACTCAGAGCAGGAGAGAAAGCCCCTGGATTGAGATGAACTGGTATAGTCTGTGGCAATGGGGTCCGGTATGTCAGAGACCGTGAGGTTGGCATGATTCAGAGCCTCTGTTCAGAGGGTCACTATGAGTAGACTCGACAGCACATAACAACAAGGTGATACTGAACCTTCCCATCCATGTGTCCTTTCTTACAAGCAGATATTAACAAAAACAATAAAAGTCAGAGCTGTACTGGCAGTGCCTGTGTGCCAGCATTCACCACACTATATTCCACACCCACAACCCTACTGGGAAAGTCCAATGACGAAGCTGATGCTATTTGCTGCCACCTTGAATTTGCAGAATTTCAAGTTTAAAGAAATTAGCCAGAATACATCTACATACCCTTCACTGAGATTCAACTGTTAACACTTGAACACATTCTCTGCATCCATGTTTTTGCAGATCGAGCTCCAAAACCAGCTGACGTCAGGTAGACTCTACTCACAGTGACCTCGTGTGTGTCAGGGTTGAACAGTACTCCACCAGCTTTTCAAAGGCTGGACGTTCAGCAGGTCTTCCTTCCAGGGTGCCTCTGAGTCAACTCCAACCGCCAGTTATTCAGTTAGCACCGAGGGTCCTAACTGTCTACTCTGCCCAAACTCAAAACCAAGCCTCCCTGTTGCTGGGCCGGCTCTGAGTCCCAGCAGCCTTCCCCCAGGTTTCCAAGACTGTAAATCTTCATGGGAGGAAACTGCCCATCTCTCTTCTCGGGAGTGCCTGGTGGATTTGAACCTCTCAACCGTAAGGTCAGCAGCCAGACACACAGATGCTATTCCACTAGAGGTCCTTTCACACCACCCAGGGACCACAAACACACAACACACTCTCGGATGTGTATGTGTATAGTTGTTAAATGCATTTTCTTTTGTCCTGAACCACTCAAATTTAAGTTGCAGACATGATATCAATTCACTCCCAAAAGCTTTAGTAGGTATGCCCTAATAAAAAGAACATTCTAGGTAATTACATCAGTAACGCTATCACAAACTCATGAAATTTAACAGTAAAACATATTCTATTCTATATAAAATATATAAATAAAAATATTATATATTTTATAATATATAATCCATAATCAAATATCCTCATATTGTATATTGTCCTTTTTTTTACTTATAATTTGAAAGTTTTATTTATTTCAAAGAGGAACCAGTTCTCTTTCCAAGGGACTTTTCTACAAGACCAAGCAAATTACATATTTCTTGGTAAATTACAATTCACATTGGCACAATAAACACATTGGTGACTAATCTACTCTAGGCCTGTTATAGAAACCCATATTGCCCTTTAATTTTTTTTTTTTTAGCATGTACCTTCGAATTAGATCCACCTGGTACAGGAGCAGATTGCCCCTTCTTCTCTAGCAGGGCATCTGGTGGATTTGAACTGTGCACCTTCAGGATTGCAATACAGCTACTTGCCACTAGGCCACCAGAGATCCCTAATCCTTATATCTTTTAAGTATCAATTTACCTTGCAGGATACTGATTTATTTCTTTTTTTGGTGTTCATGCCAAATTTTGTAGAGTATCTCTCAACATAGATTTGCCTGTTTGCTCAGACTTAGATGTAGGTTACGCAGTTTGGGCAGGAATGCCAGCAGTGAGGGTTTTGTCTTTCTCAGTGCATCCCATCAGGGCACCCAAGGTCCATTTACTGGTGATGTTAAATCTGCGACTTGGTGGCCCGTGTTTTCAAGTTGCAGTGAGGTACCTGCTGTGTGCCAGGCACTGTGCAGGGCACTGGACAAGGCAGGGGAGGGAGGTGAGTGAGAGTGAGAGACCACCTTAGCTGTTGGGGAGCTCAAAATCCAGTGAGGAAGACGGACTAGTGAACAGAAAAGACACAGGACAGGGACGGAGAAGCAACTATCCAAAAGGCAGGCTGAAGAATGAACAGGAGGGTCACACGACTGATTTAGTAGGAGAGGGGAGAAAGGAGGATTCACATATCAGATAACATTTGAAGGGAGTCTGAAAGATCTGGTAATACTTTAACAGATAGAAAGGAAGACAAGAGCCTGACAGATAGAGGGAGGAGCATATGCAAAGGTATGTTGTTGTTGGGTGTCATCTCGTCAACAGACTCACAGTGACCCTGTGAACAACAGGTAGGACCGTACCCCATCCTGCGCCATCCTCATGCTCTCGGCCTTGTTCAGGACCGTTGCTGCTGTCACTGTGTCGTCAATCTATCTCGTTGAGGGTCTTCTCTTTCTCTGACCATCTACCTTCCCCAGCACTATGTCCTTTCCCAAGGTCTGGCCCCTCCTGACCACACCCCCAAAGTATGCGAGAACATGTTTCACCATCCTCCCCTCTGGGAGCACTCAAGCTGCACTTCCACCAAAGCAGATTTGTTTGTTCTTTTGGCAGTCCATGGGCTCTTCGATACCAACACCACAATTCAAAGGCATTCTTTGATTGTAAGATTTGTAGAAGTCTCTTGCTCCCCCAGGAGGTCTTTGGGTGTGTGTACACACAAGCTTATGTGTATAAAGCATGTGTATAAAGGGAACCTTCCCAATGTTATAATTTTCCTGTTGTCTAATCCTAAAAACACATCCCCCACCCCCACCAGTGGGCCAATAGGCAACGTCATGACAGACGGAGAAAAAATTGAAATTGTCAATGATTTAATCTTACTGGGACCCACATTCAACACCCTTGGCAACAGCAGTCAAGAGATCAGGAGACATATCATTGAGAAAGTCTGCTGTCAAGGACTTTGCCAAAGTCCTGAAGAGCAGTGATGTCAGTTTAAAGACTCAGGTGCACATGATCCAAGACATAATCGTTCTTACCTCCCCCCTTTCTTTTTTTCCCCAAGACACAGTCTTTCTAATCACCTACTACGCATCTGAAAGCTGGACAATAAATAAGGATGAAAGAAGAAGAATCGGTGTATTGGAATTGTGGTGTTGGAGAAGAGTACTGAATGAGTATCCCATTCAAAAGAACAAAGAGATAAGTCTTGGAGAAAGTTCAACAGCAGAGTTCTCCTTAAAAACAAAGAAGGTTAAGCTTGCCTCACTTACTTTGGGCATATTTTTAGGAGAGTTTATTCTTTGGAAAGGGACATCACACTTTGGAAGAGTGGAGGGTTAGCAAAAGAGGAAGGCCCTCAATGCGATGGACTGATACAGTGACTGTGAAAATGGGCTCAAGTTGTCTGGGTTGATGTGGATGACACAGAATAGGACAGGGTTCAGATCTGTTGTTGATAGGGTTTCTAGGAGTCGTACTCAACTCAACAGCAGCTAACAACAGAAACCCCCAATATGGACAGACTGTAGCTGGACAGTTCGTCAAACACTTTGCCTTTCTTTTAAAATGTTTACTTCAGGGGAGCTCTGGTGGCCTAGTGGCAAGGAGCTGCAACTACAATCCCAGAGGCACACGGTTCGAATCCACCAGATGCTCTGCCGGGAAAAGGAGGGACAATCTCCTCCTGTACCAGTCAGATCTGATTTGACGGTACACTCTCACACACACACACACACACACACACACACACAAAATGTTTACTTCACTGTGTCCCCTCTACTTAAGCCAAGTAGATATGACTTCTCCACTTGTCAGATGTAGAAATGGAAACTCAGAGAAGTAAATTAATAGCTCTATCACACAGGCCAGTAGATACCAGAGCAGAGCCAAAGAATGGAACTTAAGTGTTCTATTTACCAAGGAGACCTGGTTACTCAGTACTCGCTAGCTTCTATCTCCAGAAGTCAGACACTTCACCAATCCATGTGGGCCCAAATGAAGAAATCATTTCCAGATAGGGACCCTGTCTATCCAGAGGCCCAGGAGTCCTCAAGTTCCATCTCATCCCATCATGGAAAGAAAAATATGTCCTTTCAAAAAAATCATGCCCCCAATGCCACCAACTCAACACACAAGTTCTCCTGGCTAGAACAGCAAGAAGGTGCCAGGGGTGAGGCTGGAATGAAGAGAGACAGAGCCAGGGCCAGAGACCAAAAAGAGCCAGAGTGGGTGCCTCACACCCAAAGCAAAGGGCAAGATGAATACAGCAAATTTTATGGCAAGACAATTTGGAGTACTTCCATGGCTCTTCACAACCTTCTGGGTAAGTCTTTAGGTCCTTAGCAAAGCCCATAAAGTCTTTGAAGATGGGGTACCTGAACCTCCTAGCCTTTGCTTCTAGACTTACACCCTGCTACCTGCCCAACTCTTAGACCTCCAAGTCTTTGCATATGTTGTTCCCTGTGCCCAGGACTCTTCCCCCTTGTCTAACTGGTTGACTCCTTGTGTTGAGTACTCAGCTTGTGTATAATCTCTTCTAGGAAACCTTCTCTGATCCTCCCAGCCCTCATCTGTACAACCTGTGCTTAAATCTATCACCACATCTATTTCCCTCTGTTGATTACTAATCAATATTTCTATCTCACAAAAAAATAACCTAGTAGTTCTCAGGTGCCCAAACCAAAATCCCCATTACAGTTGATTCTGACTCATGGTGACCCATAACTGCCCGACAGTGTTTTCCTGGCTGTACTCGTCATATAAACTGATTGTCAGGCCTCTCTTCAGTGGTGCTGCTGAGTTTATTCACACTGCCAAGCTTTGAGTTGGTAGACTAGCACAAGTATTTTAGGCCACTAGGACCTCCCAGACCCTTTCGTCCCCAGAAATGCTAATTCTCAGAGCCCACCCAGATTGACTGAGTTCCAGAAAATTATCTTTCAGTAAGTTCCTCAGGTGATCTTACTGTATACTTAAATTTGAGAAATGTTGCAGACAGTCAATGGTTTTCAATCTTAAATGCATATTAGAATCCTGTGAGGAACACAGACCCTCCAGACCATAATCATAGGGGACAGCAAGGTCAATTAGCATAAGATAGTCCTTAGAGACAATGTCCTACAGCCTACTCTGGTGATGTTGTTGATTGCCTTCGAGTCGAGCACGACTCATAGCGACCCTATGAACAAAAGGCCTGAAGCCCCTCTACAACTATTGACGTTTATCAAAGTTCATAGAGTTTCCGGAGACATGTTGTTTAGGAAGCGGATGCCACTCCTGCTTCCAAACTTTGATGATAGTGACTCTCAAAACTCAATGCTGTTGAGTCAGAACCAACTCATAGCTGACTCTCCAGTGGGTTTTCAGAGGCCATAAATCCCAAGGAAGGAGAGTGGCCATATTCCTCCTAAAGAGTAACTGGTAAACCATCTGCCTTTGGGTTGGCAGGATAATTCCTTACCCACTAGGCATCCAGAGCTCCATACCAGTGCACCAGAGCTCCCTACTAGGGCACCAGAGCCTTCTACGAGTGCACCAGAGCTCCCTACGAGGGCACCAGAGCACCCCACGAGGGCACCAGAGCTCCCTACTAGGGCACCAAAGCTCCCTACGATGAGGGCACCAAAGCTCCCTACGATGAGGGCACCAAAGCTCCCTACGATGAGGGCACCAGAGCTCCCTACAAGGAGGGCACCAGAGGGCCCCACGAGGGTACCAGAGCTCCCTATGAGGAGGGCACCAGAGCTCCCTATGAGGAGGGTACCAGAGCTCCCTATGAGGAGGGCACCAGAGCTCCATACGAGGGCACCAGAACTCCCTACGAGGGCACCAGAGCTTCGGAGAGTCTTAAAAACTAGTGAGCAGTCACATATGGTGTAACTATTGGTCTGTTCCTGTCTGGAACAAAGAAAATCAAAGAGATGTAGGAACAATTAGTCCACAGGACTAATGGACTTCTTGGACTTCAACTCCACTAAGCACGAAACCAGAACTGGCTAGTATCCAGTTACCACTGCTGACCCCTCTAAAAAGGATCATAGTAGAGGATTCTAGACAGAGTAGGAGAAAAGTGTGGAACAAAACTCAAAATCAGAAACGTGGCCAGGCTTGCTGGTCTACTAGAGACTACAGACCTTTTTGAGTTTTACAGTTACCTTTTTGAGTCTGGTACTAAACTAACGTCTGTGGTTCAGTGCCCAGCCAAACAATAAAAAGCCATATAGGTAGAACAACAACGTCAAAGACATAGTCACTCCTTAGAACAAACAACCATATATGATCAAAAGGGCAGCCTTCACCCAGTGACAAAGCTCAGATTTAGGAAAGAATGGGATAGAAGGATAGAAGGAAATGAGAATCCGAAAGAAGTGGGAAGAATAATGTTACAATGTGGGTTTGACAATCAATGTCATAGAAAAAAACATGTATGGATGGTTGAATGGAAAGCCAATTTGTTCCTCTTAAGCTTTCACCTAGGGAGATTTTTTAAAAGCCTAGGACCTATCCACAGAGAATCTGATTGAATCAGACTAATATTTTTGTTGTATGCTTTCAAATAAATGTTTTCATTCACAGTAACATCATGTGACAGAGTCTAGTTACCCCGTAGGTTTTCCTAGGCTGTGACCTTTGTTGTTGTTAAATGCTATCAAGTTGACTGTATCTCCGAGGGATCCTATAAACAACAGATCTGAGCCATACTCTGTCCTGTGCCATTCTCATGATCTCCGTTCCCCTTGAGCCCACTGTGGTAGTCACTGTCAGTCCATTTCACTGAGGGTTTTCCTTACTTTCTCTGATCTTTCCCAACATGATGGTTTTTTCCAAGACTGGCTTCTCCTGAAAACATGCCCAGAGTGAGGCGAAGTTTCACCATCCTTGCCTCTAAGGAGCCCTCTAGTTATACTTCTTTGAGACAGCTTTGTTTCTTCTTTTGGCAGTCTATGGTCTGCTCAACATTCTTCACCAACACCACACTAAAGGCATCAACTCTTCTTTCATCTTTATTCACTGTCCAACATTCCAATGCACAGGAAGTAATGCCATGGTTATGTGGGTTACATTTCAACATCAAGAAGACAAAAATCCTCACCACTGGGCCAACAGGAAAATCATTACAGATGATGACATAGAAACGTCTGAAGTTGTCAAGGATTTCCTTTTCCTTGGATTCACACTCAACACCACCCATGACAACAGCAGTCAGGGAATTAAAAGACGTGCTGCGTTGGGCAAATCTGTTTGCCAAGGACCTCTCCAAAGTGCTCACGAGCAAGGATGTCATTTTATATTAAAGTTTTGTGATGTTTATGGGAGCAGACTGCCAAGCCCTAGGCTCGGATAGAGTAGGAAGGACTGATGAGCTACCTTATTTTTTTAAAAAAGTGAAGGGCAGTGGAAACCTTATGAAAAGCAAAGACAGAAACTGTCTAATACCAGAAGACGGGCTCCTCAGGTCTGCAAACACATAATGCAGGATCAGGGAAAAGTTGTCTCTTCAAGGAGAGTCTCCCTTGCTGACGTGGACAGAGTAAACCTTTCAGGATCTTCATTTGCTAATGTGGCACAACTCATAATGAGAATAACTCAGTGTTGTTCGATCAGAACAGGCTCACGGTTAATCCCTCACTGGGGTTTCCAAGGCTGTAAATCCCATGGGAGCAGGTGACTCATTTTTCTCCTAGGGAGATGCTAGTGGATTCAAACTGCCAGAGAGACATAGCCTTTTGGTTTTAATGACTACACAAAAGCACTCAATAGTGTGGGATTGTAACAAATTATGAAAAATACTGCAAAGCACAGGAATTGCAGAACACTTAATTGCGCTCATGCAGACACTGTACACAAAACAAGAAGAGAGTTGACCAAACAAAACATGGAGATATTGTGCAGCTGAAAGTCAGGAGAAGTGTGTTTCAAGGTTATATCTTCTTATCGTACTTACTGAGTCTGTATGCTTAGCAAAAAACGTGAGAAGGTGGACCATAAGAAGAATCCAGTTTGAGGACTGAAGGAAGAATCATTAGTTAACTGAAAAATGGAGATGATGCAATCTTGCTTGCTGAAATCAAAGCGGGCTTGAGACACTGATAAAGCAGCATCCAGCCTTTATTATGGATCCATCACACCTCAACATAAAATAAGCATCCTTATGACTGGATTAATAAGCAGCATCTTGGAGAGAAAATTGAAGTAGTCAAGGACCTCATTTTACTTGGATTCAGTCATGGCCCATAGAAGCAGTAACCTACAAATTCAACCACATATTGCAGTGGGTAAATCTGCTGCATAGAACCTCCTTAAAGAGTAAAGATGTCACTTGGAGGACTAAGGTGTGCATGACCCGAGCCAGTGGTATCTTCAAGTACCTCAAATGCATGAGAAAGCGGGACAATAAATAAGGAAGTTTACTGAAGATCTGACAACTCAGAAATAGAGCATTGTCGAAGAATACTGAGCACATCATGGCCTTTCAGAAGAACAAACAAATCTTATCTTGGATGACGTGCAGCTGAAATGTTCATTAAAAGCAAGGATGGTGAGACTTTCACATACTTTGGACAGGTTATAAGGGGGGGACCAGTCTCCAGAGGAACCTGTCATTCTTGGTAAAGTAGAGGCTTAGTAAGAAACTCACATTCAAGGAGACGAGTGGTTGGCACAGTGGCTGCAGCTATGCGCCCAAACATAGCCAACAACTGCGAGGATGGCACAGCTCTAGGCAGTGTCTCTTCCTGTTGTACTTTGGGTGGCTACAAATCAGAACCTATTTGATGGCACCTAACAACAGGTGTGTTAAAGGTTTCCCCACCTAATTTGAATATACAGCCATGGTTGAGAACCACTATGCCGGATAAGGGCTTCTCAAACTTCAACACACAGAGGAATCATCTGGAGATCCTGATACAGTGATGATCCTGATTCAGAAGGTCTGGAGCAGAGCCTGAGAATCTGCATTCCTGGGAAGTTCCTATACTAAGCAGATGGCCGGCTGTTCCATGGACCACATTTTGAGTGGCAAAGTATTAGAAGACTAGGAGCCCCTGAAAGGCAGGAATTAGACTTCCTTTACTTGTCTGGAGCCTAGTGAAATACCTGGCACTGGGTGCACTAAATGCTAACTAAATGAATGAATGTCTGATGAATGATTCTCTAACCCACCTTCGCAATTACTCTCTCATTTGTACCACATCACACTCTTATCCTTCTTCCCAGAACATGGAGGATCCATAGCTCTTGTGCGCCTACCCTTGTCCTGCTACCAGGTAAGATAATTTTTACCACCCTGGAAATTCTGTCAAAGTGGAGGGGTATCGGACTGTTCCCTCCCATTTAAGGTGTTCAATCTAGTGAGGCCATCAGTTCTGTGTGACTCTGGGCAAGTCTCTTTTCCTCTTTGAGTCTTAGAAACATCCTGTGTCCCAGCCAATCCCTACCGGAGCTACGCAGGCCATGCTTAATAATTTTTTTATCAGTGAACAAAGGGATTCAACAGAGTTACCAAAGAAGAGACAGGATGCCTAGTCAAATTTAAAGTTTAGATAAACAGTACATATTTTTAGTATAATATGTTCCAAATGTTGAAGTCATTATCTGAAATTTAATTTTAAGTTGGCATCTTATTTCTGTCTCACATAGTTTGGGCACATGGCCAATCCTTGGAGAAGGACATCATGCTCAGAAGGGTGGAGGGACAGCATAGGAGAGGAAGACCCTGGATGAGATGGATTGATTGACTAGGGTAATGGGGGTAGGTGTGCTGGAGTCAATGAGATTGGCTCAGGACAGGGCAGACTTCAGAGCTGTTGTACAAAGGGTTGCTGTGAGTTGCAGGCGACTTGAAATCTTATTTCTGCTTTATTTTTTTTTTGTTTAGTTTTCTTTTGTTTAACTAGATCTGACAATTCACAGTGAGTCAATGTCATTTTCTAAAATGGTGATAACCACTTGAGAACTCTTAATACTATCTTTTCAGTTGCCAATCTGAGACTCACTAACTGAACCTTCTCCTTGTTGCCCAGAGAGAGATCTGTTGTACAGACAGGAAGGCCTAACGAAAGGCAGGGATGAATCTTACACAGATCCTCAGGAAAAACTAGGAATTTAAGCCACACTCTTCACTACCCTCGGAGCACCTCCTTCCCAACTGAGAGAGTGTGTGAAGATGCCAGTTTTCCCAATTAAACTCTAAGTTCCACAAGACCTGGGGAGAGGACTAGACTACACCTCAGCATCGTCACAGGGCTTGGTGCTTAATTTAAAAAACAACAGAAAACCATTGCTATTGAGTCAATTCTAACTCACTGCAGCCCTTCAGGGCACAGTAAAACTGCCCCACAGAGTTTCCAAATCTTTATGGAAATGGCCTGTCGTATCTTCCTTCTGCAGAGTGGCCCAATTAGTCAGGTGCTTTAACCACTGTGTTACCAAGGCTCTTTTTTTTTTTTTGGCACATAGGTTCAACAAATACTTGTGAATGAACTGCAGTCTCTCTTTCCCTCATCTTAACTCCACATCTCACCTACTCCCACCTTCCTTTCCATCTGACTTTTGAAAGGGTCTTGCGATCCTCACCTAACCAAACTTTGTACCAGACTGATTTACAGCTCACCAATGGCTTCACAGCAACCTTGGAAGGGGCACGAAACAAGGGTGATTAGCTCTATTTTACATATGAGAAGACTAAGACCTTGGTGGGGTGGAGTAACTTGTCCAAGTCACACAGTGAGTCCAGCCCAGATATGAGGCTGAAGAGCATCTCAATCACCTCACTCCATCCCCACAGCCAGCATCCATGTTAAGACTCGGAGACCCTGGCTGAGGGACACTCGGTAACCATTCTGCCACTCACATCCCTAGATGGTAAAGGAGGTATTCCCCCCAAGTCCAGACCACTGGGGGCAGGACCCAAGGAAACCACACTCGGCTCCCTACTGCTACTCCCAGCCGCCTAAGATCCACTTGCCTTGGCACTTGTTCTCTGCTCGAGATGAGCAAGAGGCCCAGAAGATATTACAAAAAAGGAGACAACATTCCAAGTATGTTCTGCCAGCTCCCAAACCCTCTGCACCCTCTAGGGAAAAGAAGTAGAACAGGGTGTGAGTGGGTGGGATAGTTCACCTACTGAAAAGGACCCTGGGCTGAAGGGAATCCTGGGCTGGTTGGATGTCACTGCCCCCTCTTCTGTCTTCCTCCGGTGCCATCTATCTGGGCTGAGGACTGTGGAGAGGAGGGGCTGTGAAATGGGAAGGGAACAAACCTGGGAACAAAGACTGTCCATGCAATTTCTCACACAGGCACATCAGTGAGAGAATTCACCTCCAAAACCTCTATCTCCCCATGAACAAACTGGCCCTGCAATCTCAGGTGGAATCCAGGCCCTTGGGGCCCACCTCAGACCCCCTGAAGTGGCAGAGACTAAAGGTCAGGGACCGTGATGGGAGGGGATGTGGATGAGAGACTCCCTCCCCATGGGTGCCCTTATCTCGGGCTCCCATCATTCTGCGTGTTCACTGGAGGGATAGGAGGGAAAGGCATTGCATGGATGAGTTCCTTTCCATTTGAACTTCCATATTTACCCCATTTGTTCCTCTACACTGGCTGCCGTGGATGGGCAGGAACTCACAGAAAGTCTGAAATCTCCCATTGAAGACGAGCAACTTTATGCAGCTCAGGTGAGGGGTGGGGGCGCAGGTTTACAGTGTGGAGCTGGCTGAGCTGGAGAGTACAGGCACTTGAGGAGGGGGGAGGTATTCAGAGTACAGATTCTAGCTGCAGCCAAGCCAATGAGTTGATCTCAACTCACAGTGACCCTGTAGAACACAGCTGAACAGCTCCATAGGATTTCCAGAGGAATAAGAACTCCATGTATGGTATCCAAGATCTTCTTCTGTCTTCTACCTCTGTTCTCGCAGGCTCTGGGGTGCCTGGGCATCAGTGACAGATGTATCTTGGAGGCACTAGAGGAGGCGGTGAGTCTGGGGCTGCATGAAACCCAGAGGAAGGGAAAACAGGATAAGAAGCGTGCACATGGGAGCACAGATAGGGCTCTCTAGAAGTACAGGGATGACGGGTCAGAGTCACCAGTGTATAGCATGCCCACTCCATCACGCTTTGGGCTTCTTCCAACAGCAGTTTGACACAAAGGATGGTTAGTGAGGAATATGAAGATCCCCATGGTCTATCAGAAAAGACAGAACTGAAAACCCAAAAAGAACCGGGACTGAGCTCACTCTGTGCCTCCAGAACATGACAGCATGCTTCCATTACAATTCAAAGGAATAGCCATAATACTTAACCATAATGTCATTTACATCTTCCAACAATATAGGTACAGGAATTAGCCTCTGTTTCCTCCTACTGAGAAAAGAAAAGCTTTTAAAAAGGCCAAGTGACTACTAGATAGAGAGATGAACAAACACCTGATTCTCAAGTCCAGCATTCCTTCCATTGCACCAGCCGACCTGTGCACTGCACTTTGAGTGTTTGAGTGTAAACACTGTTGTGTTTTTTTTTAATTTTATTATTATTTTTTGTGTGTACCATCAAATCAGATCTGACTGGTATAGGAGGAGAGTGCCCCTCCTTCTCCAGCAGAGGATCTGGTGGATTTGAACCATGTATCTCTGGGATTGCAGTGCAGCTTCTTGCCAGTAGGCCACCAGAGCTCCCTACACTCTGTTTCTTAATCTGTAAAATGAAAAGGTTAGGCTGAGATGATCCCTAAACCTCTGACATTTTATCACTTTGTGGTGCTTCCTAAATCAGGCCAGAAGTGGCACAAAGAAAGTGAAGTTCAAGGCCTACCGAACCTTGGCTCTCCTGGGTGAGTATGTCCCTTCCTTGAGTGGGGAGAGGGGTGAGAAAGGAGATAGTGCAGGCCAGTACTCTGGTCATCTAAACACAGGAAGGAGAGAGGGAGTGTACACACACAACCTGTCAGCAGGGCCTAGGAGTTATCCTATTATTCCCGGGCAGAGAACAGAAGCAGAGGTGGAGACTGAAAGGTGGAGTGGAAGGGAAGGCTCCTGGAACTGTGGTTGCACCCTGTGTCCTGGGAAGCTGGGCAACATCTTGGGACCCCTTATTTGGAACGTCTGTCTTGAGGGGACAGTATAGTCAAATGGAGCCTAGCAGAGGAGCAGTCTTCGGGGCACTGCTCTGAGCTGAGGATCCTCCTTGTCTAGGTTGCCTGAATAAGCATGTGATCCAGGCTTTCATGCAGCAGTTGAAGGGGTGCAACGAACCTCAAAGGATGGAGACTCTGCTGGGGCTACAAATGGCTCTGAACAAGTGGGTCGCTGTTCCTAAAGAGAAGGTGACTGGGAGCAGATTCAGGAAGTTGCACAGAAGGCAGTTAGCCTAGAGGACACTTTCGCTAGGGAATGGTGTTCCTTGTGTGGCTGGACAGTATATGGCTCTGCAAAAGTCCACTTTCAGACTCAGTCTTCCACTTGTAAATGGGAGACAGTAAAAATGCATATTCTCTCTAAATAAAAGCAGAGTCGTTATTAAAATAACCCATTAAAGTAAAGCCTCTGTCGAGACAGGATGAGGATCAAGAGAGGATGGGCACATCCGAGTCCCTCTGTCCTTTAGGGCTCCCTGACTTTCATCCCATCATTGCTCTGTGTGAAAGAGAATTCATCACTCATACACTCATTCTACAAATGTATATTGGAACCTGACAGGCTCTCACCCAGGCCTGTAATCTACACCAATGGACCAAACAAAGACCTGCCCTTGTGGAGTTTATATTTCAGTGGAAGGAAACACATAATACCCAACAAGTTGAAGTAGAAAACTATATACAGTGAAACCTGTAAGAGCCAGACTCAACGAGACGTACTGTTTTGCAGGGTCTTAGAATTTTTTCTTATCACTCATTTTTGTGGATAATATTATTTTGAGTTTCCCTTTTTGGACAGGTTTCCAGCTTGCACATGTTCCAGATTTCATAAGTTTTCCTGTAGTATGTTAGAGGCGAGAAGTGAAATAAGGAAAGTTACATAGCAAATTGAGCGTGGTGTAGAATGTTGAATGGAGATGGGGATGAGTATCAATTTTAAACATGGTGAACAAAGAAAGCTTCATTTAGAAGGCAACAGGTAAACAAAGATATTCCAGACAGAAGGACCAATCAGTACAGAAAATGTACAGCAGGGAAGTACTTGGTGTGTTCAAGGAACAACAAGGAGGCCAGTGCAGGTAAATGGAGCGGGAAGAGAGAGAACCAGGAGAAATTAGGTAAAGTCAAAGTTAACAATACATGATTATGACTTTCTGGGTGGTTGTAGGCATGCGGGCTTTTAGAATGAGTGGAATAGGTGGCCATCGGAAGTTCTTGAGCAGAACAGTGGCATGATCTAACTTACACTGCAAAAGACTCACTCTTAACAGCTGTGCTAAGAAAAAACAATTAGTAGTGGGAATAGCAGCCAAAAGTGGAAGCAGGGAGACCAACTGGCGGCTACTAAAACAAGCCTGGTGAGAGATGGTGGTGGTTTAACCAAAGTGGTAGCACTGCAGGAGGTAAAAATCACAGTTACGTTTTAAAACTTTTAACCCCAGAAGTGCGCAGTTCGAATCCACCAGATGCTCTGCTGGAGAAGGGGGGCAATCTCCTCCTATACCAGAAAGATCTGATCTGATGGCACACACACACAAAATAATAAAAAGTAAAACTTTTAAAGGGCGATCCTTGGAGGCAAGGATGGTGAAACTGCATCTCACATACTTTGGACATATTGTCAGGAGACACCTGTCCCAGGAAAAAGACATCATGTTGCGAATAGGGGGTCCATGAAAGAAGGAAGACACTCAATGAGATGGAATGACAACTGACGAGCTCAAGAGACTACAACAAATGAGCCTGAGGACAGCGGAGATGGTGAGGACGGCACAGGCCTGTCCACAGGGTGTAGACTGTCTTTCACAGGCTCACTCTGAATCGTTATTGACTTGATGGAACCCAGTAACAACAAGCTGTTAAAGAACGTGATGGAGTGAGGGTGAAGCCAAGGTATTTGGCCTAGAACAGAAAAGATGGAGTTGTTATCAACTAAATGGGGAAAAGGTGTCAGCAGAATAATAGGTTTGCCACCACATCAGTTCAGTCTTGGACAACATAGTGCTGAGATGGCAACTGGACCTCTAGGGGCTCTCACGGCCTTGTGGGTAAGGAGGTGTGCTGCCAACTCAAAATCAGGTGGCTCAAATCCACCAGCTACTCCTTGGGAGAAAGATAGGCAATTTCCTCCCATCTGACTCAATGCCACATAACAACAAAAACGCTGGCTCGCCAAGGAAGATGACAAGTAAGCATTTCTAGAAACGAGAGACATGTGAACCAGAAATAGCAACCAACTATTTGGAAGCTGTCAACATATAAATGCCATTTGAAGTCTAACAGAAATAATATCACCAGGGAGGGAAAAACCCAAAAATTATACTTTGGGGTACCAATACATTAAGAAGCCAAGTAGAAAAGGAAGAACCAGCAAACACTGAGAAATGGCCAGGAAGGAAGGTAAGTAAGTAAATAAAACTGTTGTATTCTGAAAAATAAGTCAAGGAAACACATCAAGGGGAAAACTGTATGAATGAGTGAATGAAAAACCAACTTCTTTTGTAAACTTTCATTCAAATAACTTAAAAATAAGGGGGCAAGGAAGCCCTACTGGCCTAGTGGCAAGAAGCTGCACTGCAATCCCAAAGGCACGTGGTTCAAATCCACCAGCTGCTCCGCTGGAGAAGGAGAGGCAATATTCTCCTGTGTTGACTGGATCTGATTCGACAGTACATAACAAGAAGGGGGGGGGGGGAAGTAAAAATAAGGAAGGAATTAATCAACTTAAAAATCATACAAACTTAAAAAAATCATCCAAACTTAAAAAATACATCAAGAAGGCAGAAATTAACTGTCATCTAATAAAACGTTGTAATCGTGTACCACTGAATTGGAACCGACCCATAGCTGACCCTCCAGCAGGTTTTTAGAAACAGTAAATTGCACGGGAGATTTCCCGTTGCCCATCTCTCTCCTGTGGAGAAGCTGGTGGATTCAAGATACGTGCCTCTGACTAGGCAGTACTTTCCTTAGCACTAAGGCACTGATTAAGGACTCAGGTGGCCTAGTGGTAAGAAGCTGTGCTGCAATCCTGAAAGCACTTGGTTCAAATCCAGCAGCTCTTCCAGAGAAGGATGGACAATCTCCTCCCATTCAATTACCTGCCTCTGAAAAACCAGCTCGAGGGTTGACTATGTGTTTGTTCCAACTTGACAGCACACAACAAGAACAAGACACTGATTAAGTTGACTTTCCAATGTAGAAACCATTGATTATTTTAGGAAGAGTTATTTCATTGAGGGGAGGCATGCTTGAAGCGAGTTTTAAAGAACATGTGAACAACAAGAACATGAGAGGCAAGAAATTGGCAGCTGGAAAGCATGGATAAGTTTCATAGAAATAGTAGCAGTTGGTTTCAGAGATGATTCTAGAAGAGAAAAAAGTTTGTTTCTATGCTAAAGGGAATAATCCTGTAGTTAGAAAAATAAAGAGAGCTGTTTGAAGCAAAGACCTTGAGTAGGTGAGAGGGAATGAGAGCGAATACACAAGTGGAATGATTGGTTTTACAGAGATGGCCACAGTAACAACTGGCAAGGAAGAGTGAATGGGTGCAGGTCTTGATAACTTGGTAGAACTCATGGTAGACTGCCATGGAACCTTTCTAGTTGCTTTTATTTTCTTGGTCAAGAAAGTAACAGTCATTAACGGAGTCTCACCAGAGTGAGAATGGAGGAGCAAGTATAGCAGGTTCCGGAAGGAATATGAAATAGAAGAATGGGAAAGTGCTCAGAGGAAAAGCAGTATGGTTTCCAGGCGGCATCAAGGTCTGTCAAGTTATAAATGGCACATTCACAAAGCAAGTCAGTTGCTAGGATTGTGGTTTTTCTCCAAGAGATGCAGACACAAAGTTGGATTTAACCAGGTTTGTGGCAAGGGAATACAATGAAAAAGGGGTGTGGGGGGTGCTGGACTGAGATTGTATTGCAGCAAGGGATAATTAAAGCAGGACTTTAGAATCTAAGCTGGATCAAAAGGAGAAAAGGTGGCCATCAATGGATTGTTAGTCTGTGAGTAGTCAAACTATCACTGACACCAGAACATGACAAGAGGTGAGCTAGAAAGATAGGCGGTGAGAGGCAGAGAGTGAAATCAATGATTATGGAGCAATTGTCATTATGAGTAATTGAAGGTCTCTCTGTGGAAATTAATGGCTGTGGTACAACAGATGACAAGGTCACTGGAAGAGATAAACAATTACATGTGTTTATAATATACATGCTGGATCTGGAATTACAACAGAAATACTAAAGAGTAACATTAACCTAAGAGATAAAATCATAGAGAAATGAGATGTGACTTAGCAGCCAGTAGGTGTCAGCATAAATAAGGGGAAGTGGACAAAATAATGTGCTCGCATGAGATTCACTTTAGGCAAGAGAATGGCTTAGAAGCATCAAGCCTGGTGGAGGACTTATTCCCTTACCCCGCCCATTTCTCCTCCTGCCTCCCTTTAGAGGTCTCAAGTGGAGGATGAAGAGAAGCTGGTGTCCCTGCTGCAGACACTGCTGAAAGTGCCACCAAATGATGCAGCTCTGGAGGCAGCCTTGTGCTTGGGTTTCCTGAGACCCTGCAGCAAGGTGGTCCGAGAGTTCCTGCAGCAGAGCCTGGGCCGTGGATCCAAGCCCCAGAGGATGAAGGTGTGAGGGGCAGGAGGCTGGTTCCCCAGGGAGGACTGGGAAAATAAAAGGTCAGTGCTGACTTGGATCAGGTCTAAATTCTATCATCCTCATCCAGAGAGCTTGCTTCAGCAAGGATCACTGTGTGTTTGTGAACTTAACTACACATGAACATGAGGTCATGTGGACGTACACGTCTGTGTACATTTTATGTACGGATGTTCACGTATGTGTGGGCACACAGGAACGTGTTCTCACTGAAAAGGCAGGAAAAAGAATGTCACGTGCCCCCAGAAGTACAAGGGTTAGCACTCAATCGGCATGATCATCTAGCCCCCTTCCTGCCCTGCCCGCCCCACCCCACCACACAGGCACTCAGCATGTTGGTCAACATGATGCACGTGCACTCAGCTGTGGTCACCAAGGCCATCCTAGAGCAGCTTTCCTCTTCCGCTGTCCTCGAGGTAAGCTCTGGGGCTGTTTGACACCCTTCCTTCTCCAGCACTGGGACAGGGTTAGAGGGCTAAGGGTCTATCCTTCATGCCTTCTCCACCTCTCCCTCAGCACCGCTTGGAAGCCACCAAAATGCTCAGGGCTGTTGGGCTAGAAAAGATCCAAGAGCAAGGGCTGGAAGGACTCACATTTGACCAGCTCAGGAAGATGATGTTTACTGAACCCTTCCTGGTGAGTGTCACCAGAGCTCTCAAGTCCAGACAAACCTCCCTTCCCTCTCCGCTCCCGAGACCTCTCCAGGCTTGGCTCCACCCCTCCCCCCCAAAGCATCACACATTCATCATCTGCTGTTTCTACACAGTCCATATTTTGAAGTTGCTTTTGTCTTTACTCAGGTAATTATCTTTTAAATGCTGCAGGCATCTTTCTCACCCTCTGCAATGGAAAACCTGCCTCTCCCATTCATTCCCACTGGTTCTGGTAACCCCTCTTGCCTTCTGTCCATTAAAATATGGTCCCTGACTCTCCTCTGGGCAGATTTCCCAAATTGCCCCAGTCAGAATTAACTCTGCCTGCCTTCCCTTAGCTTCCTTCACTTTTATTATAACCTGTTAAAGAGAATTAGCCACAAACTTTCCAGATACATTTTCTTTAGAAAACTCTCCAATGGTTCCTTAACACCTTTGAAACGACTTACATTGTTGCTCTCAAACCAAGCCCTACGCATAGGGTCCTGACATAGACGCCTGTTGTCATCCCAGCAGAATTACACGGAGTGCCTCATTTTGAAGAGCCCCACTTTGGCTGCCTCAATCTCCATTTCCATACGCCCCCTCTGAGCTTTAGGTTTTTGTACAAACTCTCATATCTCTCCAGAGACCAACTCCCAAAAAAACCCCTCTTCCTGGTTCACTCCTCTTACCCTTCAGAGTTCAGCTTCTCCAGAAAACCCGAGTTAGGAGACACTCCGATGTGCACTCTACACTTGGGCTAGAAATAAAACTAACAAAGTCCTGCAACTGCACATTTAGTTGCCTGTTCCCCATAGCCCCTCAACCAGTCTGAGCTCAAGACTGCGACTGTATGTAGCACAGAGTAAAGGTTAGTGATGCACCTGAATGTGTATTACTGCACTCCTTCTGCTGTCCCACCTTGATTCTTCCGCAGGCTATGAGGCAAGTTGTGGCTGAAACAGTGGAGGAGCTCAAGATGAAGCCTGCGATGATGAACTTGGTGGAGGAGTGAGTAATTTGGGCTGGGAGCTGCCAGGCCAAAACCTAGACTACAGGAAAGAAGGGCCAGTAAGAGCTGAGAACTTGCTGACTGCTCTCATCTTATTATGAACCCTCCGCCAAATAATGCCAATACTCAGGGTTGCCAGAAAGCTTAAGATGAGAGCACAAGGAGGACATGTAAAAAGCAAAGTTCTGGACAGGTGTGAGGCCTGATTATCACAAAGATAATCTCAGGAGAGGACAGCTACTGGGAAAAGACATCCTTCTGGGAAAAGTGGAGGGCTAGTGGAAGAAAGGAAGACTCTCAGCAAGGTGGACTGACACAGTGACTCTAACATTGGCTTCAAGATCTTCAAGATGGCACAGGGCAGAGCAAGGTTCTAATCTGTTCTTCAGGGAGTCATTATATGCCATAGTCAATTTGACACAAAGGAACAAGCAAATTGGGAGGCCAGCACAGAACAAGACAGGTTTTAATCTGTTGTACGAAGGGTCATTATGAGTCAGTCAACTAAACAGCACCCGTTGTTGTTGTTGATTGCCACTGAATCAAGCACGACTCATAGCAACACTATGAACAAAAGACCTAATACCTTTCCATAACTATTGTCATTTCTCCAAGTACATAGAGTTTCCAGAGACATGTGGTTTAGGAAGTGGATGCCACTCCTGCTTCCAAACCTTTTACAATTAGGAGCTCCACCACTGTGCACATTGGGAAACCATTCTGGTATTTGATACCCCAATGACACAAGGTTCAGCATCATAGCAAACCCAGGTTATCTCATACAGCACATTGACAAAGAGTGATGTACAAAGTGGAAGAGCATTCCTCCAAATATAATAGCACTAGTCTCATTTAGCAGTGGTCAAGTGTTATCAAGTCAAATACGACTGAGCTTTGCACAAAAGACCTGAACTCTGTTCTATAACATCATTTCTGTACGTTTAGAGTTTGTAGAATTTCCAGAGGCATCTAGTTTAGGAAGTGGATGCCACTCCTGCTTCTCAGCATAAATCAATTGGGAAAGTCATCCAAACACTGTACAGAATGGGTAACCATTATGGTATTTGACAAGACTATGGAACAGTGTGCAGCATCACAGCAATACCCAGTTGTTCCGTTTAGCAAACAGACAAAAGATTGCTGTGTCATTTAAGGAATACTCATTTAAAAAGTAACAAATTTGGCCCAGCACGCCTTCAAGCAGACCTTCACCCTTGGCCAAAAGCTCAAGGACATCCACTCTTAAGGGGAAAAGAGCGAGCAGTAATACACATCAAACACGACCCCAAAAACTTCCCTTACATGACCTACACAACTGCCTTTGTTGTGATATGCTATCAAGTGGCCTGCGACTCATAGTGGCCCAATGTACAGCAGCCCTAAACCCTACTCTACCCTGTGCCAATCTTACTGTCTCTGACAAACCTATCCCCATTACCCCAGTCACTGCATCAATCCATCTCATTGAAGGTCTTCCTCTCCTGCGCTGTTCCTCCACCCTCCCAAGCATGATGTCTTTCTCCAAGAACTGGTCCCTCCTTGCAACATGTTCAAAATATGTCAGACAAAGCTTCAGAATCCTTGCCGCCAAGGAGCAGCCTGGCTTCACCTTCTCTAGGACAAACCTGTTCGTTCTCTTAGCAGTCCATGGTATATTCAATACTCTTCCTTCTGTCATCCCTAGTCATTGTCCAGTTGATGTATAGCAAGTGTTTGCAAAGCCTGTATCAGCCGCACCTTAGTCTCCAGACTGACATCGTTGCTCTTCAGTATTTTAGAGAGGTCTCTAACCACCTAGCAACAGCAAATTGTAGTACCTGCTCTCCCCCTCCCATCAAGAGGAATATGAATGAAATTTGCAGCACTCCCAGGCATTACACCTGTCAGAAACAGCAGTCAGCCTCCCTCCACCACCCCTTAACCAGACACGCTTTCTTCTGCACAGGCAACTGATGGACCCAAGACCCAGTACACGCCAGGAAGCAATCATCTCTTTGGTAAGGCCAGTTCTGCTTCTTAACCTGATTCCTGAAATGTGTTGATGCAAAGGGTAGGAAACTGGACAGTGTGACTCAAGGAAAGAAAGGGGATGATGGTTTCCTGTTTGACTTGTTAGATTTCAGTAACTTTTCTCAGGGCTAAGTACAAAAGATAAGATGGGGGTGTTGCTCTAATTCTGCAAAAATTATCTTCAATCCTCCTGGGTAACAGCCATCCTTCACTCAATGCAGTGAAGTGTGCCAAGAAAGAAGACTTCTTAGCAGGGAGCTAGTGAGTTCTCTCCTCCTGTCTTTACAGGATGCAGGGTTAACATGGAACTAAAATGAAAAAAAGACCATGGATGGGGCATCTTCCGGGGTTGTCCACTGAGGCTCTCTATGCATATGCACATATGTACACACATGAACATGTGCTCTCACTTAAGAGGCCAAGAGACCTAACAATCTCACCTCCTCCCACCAGTGCTGGGCTCAGCCCTCAAGTCTGCTTCTGTCTCTGCCAGGGTGCCCTCGGTATCCGCAGCCCACAAGTTTATCACTTGCTCCTAGACATGCTGGATGTAGAAAAGAACCAGAATGTGAAGAACACTGTAAGCTGTTCCTTCTCACCTTGTCCTCTTCTCTATCATTTTCTAAGTCTCTCCTACTCATCCTCACCATTAGGTCCTTGTCAGGAGGGAGGAACGGGGAATAAGCCTTCATATACTGTCCCTGCCCATGTTCTTTTAGAGCCATACGAGCCTGTTGTCAAAGTTCCTCTTCTTGGGTGCCCCCTAGTCTCCCAGCTTCAGCTTGAAATATAGTCCAAAGGTGTTTGTTTCAATGCAGCTACAAAAAACATTAATTTTTTTGGCCTCAAATGATGCTTGGATCCAAAGAAAATTGAGGAACAAGATTTTGTTTGTATATGAGCCACCATCGTGCAGTATGAAGTCAGAGACCGCAAGGTTCCAGAAGGAGCCTGAAAGCCCAGAAGAGTTAAGCATCCAAGACTTCCGACTTGCAAAGCTGAGACCTTTGTTTATTGCAAAGTACAGCACGAAGATGGACCAGGAGGAAATGCTGACAGCCAAGAATGATTCCACTTTACAATCCACCAGCAATTCAGACCTGCATGCAACTACCATCTTCCCATACCTTAAACTAACAAAAGGCAAGCCACAGCCTAAAGGCCCCTGGTGGCTGACGACTGAGCTCTAGACCTTCACAGAAATAGGTCAGCTCTCTAGGACTTCCTCCCACTGTTTCTGAGAAAACAACTTACACTTTTATTCCATGAATAAATGTCACTCTGCTCACCATACTTCTCTGCATCACTGCCACTGCTTTGTCCCTCATTTGTCACACTATAAAATGCAACCATGGTCTCCTCCCTACTGATCAGGTAATTCCTACTGCTCAATGACTTGGGCCTTTCATTAGGGAAAAGGAGGGAGGATTCAGCCTCAGCTTCTTTGGATGGCCAGCCTGCCTCCCTAAATCAAATCACTGTCTAGGCTCTGAATTTGATAGCAAGGTAGAGTTGAGCCTCTATCTAGATGAGGCAACTGAGGGAAAACTAGGAGAAAAGCTTGGCTCTTGGATCTACTTCCTCTAATTTTTCTCCTCAACCCCCTTTCCTTACTTACCAGGTACCCAATACTTTATAAACTATTATAAATTAGTAATTAACTGAAATAAGTAGTAATTAAAAATTATTCTATTTAGTAAGGGCTGAACATCCTCTACATAGGCCTACCTTCTACCTGCCTAACAGTCATTCCCTCTGAAGGACTCTAAGTACTCTCTTAAACTGCCTCCATCTCTACTTTCTATTGAAACCTCCATTTTCCAGGGTCATTATGATCTGTCACACCAATCCCATCCTCTATGAAGGAGAAGCCCAAGCTCTGGGAGGTGACAAAATTTAAATCTAATCCTAGTGTATTACTTTCGTGATCTTTGACTTTAGACAAGTTACTTAATTTTTCAAATTGCTTCCCTCATCTTTTGCATTAACAAAGGGAATGCTGCCTTCTACCCCAGAGAGTTCCTATAAAGATTAAATGTACAGTCTGACTGCCTAGCATTATACAATAAGCCCTCTAACCAAATGCAATAAGCCTTTTCCCCCCCATTGCCATCCTCAGCCTTGTCACATCAGCCTGTGGCCACCAAAGGTCAAAAGACGAACTCAATCCCAATTCCATTGTGGTAGTCTATTGGGAGGTTAAGTTCTTCCCATCAGGCACAGAAAAAAGTAATAAAGCATTCTCTCCCTTTCACTTCAGGTTCAACATATCATTAATAACCCTGGCTGGTAGAATGGGAATTCTCAATTAAACATGGTGCACATCATTCAGATTTATCTCCCAACCTGTCCCACTACTTCCAGATTCATGTTCTGCCTCAGAAAGAGCTATCAGGGGAAACTGTATTCACTATTTGTATTCAACAAGCAGTGTTGCCTGGGGAATAATCCTCTAAGTGTGTGGCACAATAAACCAAAGAGAATATGTTTTTCCTTTCTCTACAGTTCTGGGCCCACGAGAAACAGAACTCAAATTTCCTTAGATCTCAGTAAGAATTTTACAAAACTCAAGCTCTCCACTCCTACAAAATCCTGTGTGCAGATTTCCCACTGTGTCTCCTTGGTCATGGACTGATGTGTTTAGAAAATATCTTATCATGCAACCAAATAGCAGTGTCTGCCCAATAGTACACCAGTTTAATTTTACCAATCCTCACTAGAATACTTAAGACAGCACTGGGCATAATGGTCTTCATAAAGCACCACCTATCCATGTATGATCCATGTATGAGTTTTTCTAATACCAAAGGTACCTATGTTGTTATTATTGTTAAGTGCGTCGAGTCACAGGCAACTCATAGTGACCCTATGAAGGAGAGTCCTCGACGCTTGGGTGCCTTTCATCCTCTCTCCAGGTTCATAGGGTTTCTGGAGGCAAACTATTATGGAAGCGGATGCCACTCCTCCTTCCAAGCTTGTTTTAATTGGGGAGTTCCACCCCACTCTGTCCGCATTGGGTAGCCAACCATTAACGCATTTGACACATCAGTGTCACAGTGTTCAGCCTTACAGCAACCAAACTGCAGTATTAGAAGTAAATTTAATCCAAGATCCAGCCAACTTCTCAGATTCCTGAGATGTCCACTCCTCTCAACAATCAGGATCTATTATTGGGCCTTACTATGAATTAAAACTAATTCCTCAGAAAGATATACTGAAGTCTTAACCCCTTTTACCTGTGAACACGACTATTTGGAAATACGACTGGTCTCAATGCATGTAAGTATCAGAGAACAGAATGAATTATAGCCATGTGATGATAAGAGGCACCATAGCTGCAAACCACGAAATGCCAGCAAATCCTAAGAGCCCACATAAGCTAGAGAAAGCTCTGGTGGCCTAGTAGTACAGTTTCATTACCAAACCAGCTGCTTTGTGGGGGGAAAAATGGCCAATTTCCTTCCATGTGATTTATAGCGTCTGAAACCCCACTGGAGGGTCAGCTATGACTCAGTTCTGACTCAATGATACATTAATAGAAGCTAAGTGAGCTCTGGTGATCTGGTAGGTAGGGAGCTGTGCTGCCAAAAGCAGCTACTCTGAAGGAAAAAAGTAGGCAGTCACCTCCCATCAACTGCCAGTCTCTGGAAGCCTGCTGGAGGCTCTGCTATGAGTTGGTTCTGACTCAACAGCAATGAAAGAAAAATTAAGAGATACACACACATGAAATGGTATCTCTCAAAGCCCTCAGAAGACATGCCAGTACCCTCATTTGGACTTCTTGCCTCCAGAACTGGGAAATAACAAACTTGTGTTCTACAAGCCACTCTGTATATTTTGTTACAGCAGTCCTAGGAATTGAAGGTAGGACTAATCCTTCACCACCACCCACAATGGTAGTCTTCTCTACCTTAAACCTCTATAGTGAGCTCTCTGGACATTCTTTTTGATATTTTTATGTATCACAGAGTCTGAACTGACTTATAATTGACCTGCAAGAGGATTTCAGAGGCAGTAAATTGCACAAGAGATTGCCTATCTTTGGGATTGCAGGGCAGCTTCTGACCACTAGGCCACCAGAGGTCCCTTGAGATTGCTGACCCATCTTTCTCTAGCAGAGCAGCTGGTGGATTTGAACTGCATGACGTTGGGTTGGCAGCACAGCTCCTTACCATTAGGTCACTAGAGCTCCCCCAAACAAAAAAATTTATACCATATACCTGGTCTTTGAACATCCTTATTTACCACTTGGCTGTAATTGAAATCAGACTCCAATGAAGAGGTCTCTCTTCTGTCATTTTACTTATCCTCAGATATCCTTTCCTATGTCAACTATCTCAGACTCTCATTTAAAAAAGTTGTATTCCCTATGCAGCACTCGAGAGCAATGTTTTTGAAAAATACTACATAATTTGGGAGAGACTGGAGAGCATTATACTGAGTGAACTCAGTCACATAAGGACAAATAAGACCATTACTATAAAAATAGGATACAGTAGAACATGTATAAGAATTCAAGGGGGGAAAATGTGGGAGCAGAGAGGTAAGGGTGGGCAGAGGGGAAATAACAGTTGCACAATTTGGTGGGGTGAGGGAGAGGGTAAAGGAAATGGGAAAGATTTGATGGAGATCTGAAAAGATGAGGTAATGATGGGCACAGTACATATTTTTATAAAACACAATGTATGGGTATGATAGTATGAAACAGAAGGTGAATGAAAGTGTGAAGGGAAATGTATACAAGTTTTGTATACAATCAATATAAAATTAAATTTTATTTTTTAAAAGGTATATTCCACAACAAGATAAACAATCTAATTCAAAAATGGGAATAGGATATGGACACTTCACCACAGAAAACAGGTGGCAAACATAGGAAGAAATGTTCAAAATCCCTGGTTCTAAGAGAAATGCAAATCAAACAACTATGAGATATCATCTAACCCCAGTAAGAATAGCAAAATTTAACAAAACAGCAAGCAACAAATGCTGGCGAGGTTGTGGAGAAACTGGAACCCTTATTCACTGTTGGTTGGAGTATAAAATGGTACAACCACTATGGAAGGCAGTATGGTACTTTCTCAAAAAGTTGCAAATAGAAATACCATTTGACCCACCAATTCCACTACTGGGAATACCCCAAAGAGACCATAACTGCCACCCAAGCAGATATATGCACAGCCATGTTTACTGCAGCTTTGTTCACAATAGCAAAGAGTTGGAAACAAGCTAACTTTCCATCAACAAATGAATGGACAGAGAATCTGTGGTATATTCACACAATGGAATACTACGCTGCATTGAAAAACAAGCAACTCATGCAGTATTATTCAAAATGGGTGACCCTGGAAGACATTATGTTGAGTGAAATATCTCAGTTACATAGTGCCACTGTTATAAAACAGGACTGACATCAGGGTTGAGGGAGACTGAGAAAGATGGAATAATGTATACTGCACTGAAACAGACGAGGAAGAAAACTGTTTAAAAGCTGTATGTGATTAGGTATTATTGTCATGACTGGAGTACAGAACGAAGGCTGTATAGTGGAGTGGACCTGGGGGGTAAGGATTGTGTAACAATGAATTTTTCTTTTACTTTTCAAAGAGAAGAGTGAACTGGGGAGGAGTCGGGGGATGTGTAGGTACAAAAGTGCAACAATGAATGGAAATCCAGTCTCTGTAAATTTTCATTAAAATTAATAAAAAGGGGGGGAGCTATATTCCAAGTATACCATCCTTTGTTTTACTCCCTTTCATTCACTGCTTGAACTTTAGTTTAACCTTCACCTGCATGGCCTCTCATTGGACCATCATCATCATCCAACATTTCAGTCCTTCAGTCCTTGATCTCAACCCAAGGGCCTTCACTTTATTCACTTTGGCTACCTACCTTCTATGGCCACACACTCCTCATTCCCAGGAATTACTCCATTTTTAAACACTTATGCCTCTTATTTTCTGACTCAAACTTTTTATTGTTCAGCTCTTATGAGCCCCACTACTAATTTTGTGAGGAAGCTCTGGTGGTGTAGTATGGATAGAGATGTACTGCTAAGAGAGTTCAAATCCACCTGTGGCTACTTGGAAGAAAGACAGGCAATCTCCTCCCAAGGAATTTAGAACATCAAAGACTCAACTGAGATCAGCTACAAATTGGTACTAACTCAATGGCAGTTCTTTAAAATTTC